TCCTGATAAAATGTCTAATATATTTTTTATACAATTTAAATTAGTTTTGTCATCTTCCTTACATATATTATTCAATCGATTTCTTTTCATAGAAGTCTTTCCAGTCAAATGGAAAATATCTTATGTTTCCCCTGTTTTTTAAAGCGGAGATATTAACCATGTTATAAATTACCGACATGCCTCTATAATATAGATATTATTCCCAAAATATTCAAAGGTATTGTTTATAAGAAAATTAGATAACTCTTTAAAGATTTTATTGTTGATGAACAGCATGGTTTTATGTCTGATAGATCTACTGTGTCTAATCTCTTAAATTTGCAACATTTTATTTTAAATGCATTTAAATTAAATTGCCCAGTGGACGTAATAATTATAGATTTCGCCAAAGCCTTTTATAAAATTGATCATAGTATACTTGCCAAAAAGTTGTTTCAATTTGGTCTCCTTTCTTTTCTTGGCTAATATCCTTTTTGTCTGGTCGAAAGCAGTACGTACAATTTAAGAATTATAACTCATATATGTATAATATTACTTCCGGGATTCCTTAGGGTTTCCATCTGGCCCTTCTTCTTTTTAATATTTATAGTATTTATGATATAAATTCCAATATATTGCTTTTTGCTGATGATGTTAAACTGTTCCGTATTGTTAAAACTCCACTTGACACTAAATTGCTACAGGATAATCTTGATAACATAAGTAACTGGTGTGATATAAGCAAATTATATTTGAAAGTTTCTAAATGTAAAGTTATTACTTTCACTAGAAAACGTTTGTATTTTTTTTTTTAAACGGTATTGAATCAAATCAAGTCAATCTTGTGAAAGATTTGGGTGTATACTCTTCTCTTTCATTCAATGACCATTATATATATATATTCTAAATAGAATGTCTTCAATGGTTTATAATGCGAAGCTGTAATAATTTTGATAATCCTCTGGCCCTTAAATAAATATTTCGCGCTTTTGTTAGATCAATTTTAGATTATACTCGTAATTCAATAATTTGGTCTCCTTATACACTGGTCCAATTCACTCTCTAGAGGCGATTCAAAATCGTTCTTTGAGACCTATAAGTATAAAATATAATATTCAATGGTTGCCTCACACCATATGAACCATTATTATTATACTTAAACCTTAATACTCTTCAAGTCAAAAGGGTAAAACATGAAATTTGTTTTTTATATCAGCTTTTAAGTGGTTATATTAACTGTCCAGATTTACTGTCAAATTTATCTTTTTTAGTTCCTGGTAATACGAATAGATAAACTGATACTTTTTATGTGCCATTCCAACGTACTGTATATAGTAAGAATACCTCTATAATTAGGTTCATGCAACATGTAAAGAAATTTAATATCGATGTTTTTATTTGTAATTCAGTTATTTCTTTTAAATTTTATCTTAATAATTTAGTAATTTAATCACTTAACATAAATTGTACTTCCACAATAAACATATTTATCTATATATTTATATGTTCCACATTTTCATTGTAATTGGACTCGCTCGTTTAATAAATAAATAAATAAATAACATTTTACGTTCCTATTGAATATGAGAAACGTATTGGTTTTACCATGTTGTATTTGTGTATGTATGTATGTGTGTATTAAAATGTAATAATTAAAAACGTAAAATTAACAATATATGAATGTAAATTTAAAAAGAAGGGGGTGATGTAACGATTTTTACATGATTATTAGTTTACACATATAATATGTAAATTTTCTGAGTAGACACTACGTCCTAAATAGGATATATATCATATTTCACTATTATAAATTAGACGGTTAACGGGGCAGATGCCAAATACGAGTAGATAAGAAACGGCTTTTGGTACCTAAAAATGGACTAGATTCAATTAATAGGAAGCTTGTGTTCGGTATAATTTTTTTTTGTGTGAGAACTAACGTATGGGTGTACGTATTTTTTCGTGTGAGAACTTACTCAACCTCGTTCGGCCACGACTACTATCTAATGTAGCCAAACTCCATATTGTGCTCTAGACATTTATAGCCAGTAATTTGTATTTTTTATTAAATTTTTATACAACCTAAATCAATCTAAATATATTTGTAATATTTAGATTCTTTTCTTTATGCTCCCAAGCTACGGTTAAATACATTCAAAAGAATCAGAAAATCTTCCTTTAATAACTGGTCATTCCGACCACATTATAGTTTGTATGTTTTTGTGTATGTGAATACGAATTCAGCCTGGAGTTTTCAATCCGATCCATCTAGTATTTTGAGCGAAGGGGTTATTTTCGTATTCATTAACAATTTTCCGAATAGGTGATAACAATGGAGAAAATGTTACAAAATATTTCAATCAATAAAATCGAGCTACTACATTTAGCTCGACCATTTAGACTTCTCAGTTGTTGCTGTTAAAGTATAGTTCTTTATTTTCTATATTTAACATATGTATAGGTACATACACCGTTTTTATTACGATGAATTAGGCGAAACGGTTATTTTTTTACTGATCAATCTTCATCAATACTGGTTTCCTTTGTAAACTAGAACTTTAGTTTCCCTGATATCAAGAACATTCAGTATTATAAAATTTTGGAAGAATTATCATATAATATCCCATGAGCGTTGGCGGAAACCGGGCAGGCATTCACTATTGTCGATTTAAGTGTACACGCTTCGGTCGTGTTGTATTTGCAAATTCTAACTTCTTCGGGTCCTTCCACGTTTCATTAAGTCTTCCCTGATTCACTTGTATTTTCGATAGTAATTAATGACGAAAGCCACAGAGAATTGCGGGAGGGCTCAAGAGTTGTTAGATTGTTAATAAATAATAACAGGGGAAAAAATACCGAAATGTTGACGTAGATAATAATATAATACATAGGGCACATCTGCTTACTTAATAGCTTTTATACTTATCTGTACATCATATTTAACACTGAAACGATTGACTCTTGACTCTCTTATAATCACTTGACTTAATTATTTTTCAACGAGAATATCGACAGCAGTGAATAATTTCAATGTAGATTTTTTGCGTTAGATTTGAAACACACCAGTCTAAAAATTATCAACGTGCAGCAGCACGGCACCTGTATACTCTCAAACAAAGGCAGACTGGAATTAAAGATGTTTATTTTTATCGTTTTTTCTGTATTATTTAATATTATACAAGTACATTATGTACGTCCGACTACAATCGTTTTGCAGTTACGATGACTTATCGTTTTAAAAAAATATTCATCAAATTTAACGATGGACTCGGAACCATAATAAGTCTATTTTTGTTCTTGCGTGTCTTAAATTGATAATTGTTGTAAAACATTATTTTGGTATATAGTGAGTATTTCAAGCAGCTTTTATTTCTGCCAGAAGTAATTTTAGTTATAAATTTTTACATCAGAATTGTTCTAACACTGTGTTTACAGACATATGCATCTTTGAACTCAAGTTATAGGCCATTGTTTAATTTGCTTTTTTCTCCTAAATTATCTCACTGTAATTGTTTTTTTTTCGTTTCTTATAATCCGCTAAATTTCATCGGATTCTTTGTGTAAATATTTCATTTAACCATTTTAAAATCTTATTAAAATTATTATTATGCATATGAAAAAAAGGATTTAATTATTATCTAATTAGTCCATGATAAATTTGTTAATTAAACTGTAGGTAGAATAGTATTATTACTATAATTTACCTTCGTAAACCAAATAAATCATAAAAAGTAAACGAGTAATTGCAGTTTAGTGTTAAAACTGTGGTTATTCCAAAAACGTAAGTAAACGAAGGTATTATTAGTTTTATATTTAATTCGCTATTTTCTATGTGCCTTCGTTTGATAAAAAATGAGTTTATATTTATGAATGTTTTTCTTGAACTATGCATGTACGAAACTGTACAGTACAATTCAATCATTATATTTTTATAATCCAAGTGCAATTCTACCTTGTTCATCATAAAATGTAAATAGTTTTTCGTACGAAACCAGTAGTCAACATTTTGAAATCCATATTTAATATACCTATACGGTTGCGTGAGTTATGGACGTCTGATGTCTGTTCTCTGGATTCGTCACCGTTCAAGTCAAGCGGCTTTTGAATTTATCACAATGACCATGAAACTTTGATCTTTGAAGCGCCGTTGATTGTTCATAATAATTATGTAGATTAATCTGTCGTAAACGGAAATAAACGTACTTTCCGATTGACTGCTTGTATAATTATTGTCGCGCAACATCATAATGTTGTATTACTTTTGTTGGGCTCTGTACAAACGTCGATGGGATGATTTTGAATTAGTGATCACGTTTTGTTATCCCGGAGTTGTAATATTATTAGTTAAATTCTCGAAAACGCGGTGCATGTACATACAGAGCATTCAAAGACTTCACAATTGTTTAGTTAGAACATTATTTTACCTGAGCAATCGCGTGTCGCATTTTATTATTCAATATAATATTAATAATACTAATACTAATAATAATAATGATAATAATAATAATAATAATAATAATAATAATAATAATAATAATAAT